GTAAATTAGATCTGTTCCAACATTTATTTCTCCACATATGATCCTTGCATTTAAGGCACAGTTGGATTCTTGTATTTAACCCTACGAGTGTAAAGTCTTATAATTTCTTGTCCTCCCTGAGGAGATACGTACGGAGAGGTATGAAGAGGGCCTATGCTCAGTATCAGAAAAAATTGCTGTGGCTAGTTGTCTACTTGAATTTGAATGTCTGACAACAGCAGTGTTAATCATTTGGGCCAGAGATGCGGCACCTACCTCAGTGATAGCTTTCAGAGCCCTACTCAGCATAATATGGTCATTTTTATTAGACTAGGAAATATTTGCAGGGGAAGATAAAGAAGAATAAGTAAAATACAAGAACTATTACGATTTAAAAGTACAGGCTGTTGTACCAGAAAGTTTAGGTTTTTTTATACAGCGCACTAAGCGAAAGATTTTCTTGGAAGTCAACAAGATAGGAGACGACCAACAAAGATCAAGAGGAAAACTCAATTCAAGATAGGGAACACACTGGATTGAGTTTGGGGGTTGGTGGGGATTCACAGGTTTTTAAAGTTAGTGTTCATCATGAACTGAGATCAGTTGGAGGAACATTTGAAACCTAGGAGCACTGGACAGCTGTTTCGTCCTAGTATGGGACTCCTCAGCTGTTCACACCCACGACCTCGCCATCGACCGAATCGCGAACTTCAGGTTCCGTGACCATCACGTTATCATTGAACCACCGAGTCAGAATCCAGTGATCCATATTTTCAACTTCTGTCAGTTTACGGCATAGCGCAACCATTACGCAATGTCATCTTTTTTCTCACGGCCAGTGGGTGATCTGGTTACTTCTGAGTATATTTACCAATCTGTTAGGTCGTGAAGAGCAACATTTGATAACTGTTACTGGTGCTCACCTTCAACATGTAAACGGAAGCATGATATAGCACACCTTTACAATAGTTAGCAGAATAGTTGCAATGTTCATGCTTAAATACCTGACGTTCTTCTGTTACTCATCAGATTTGCACACTGGTTTATTTGATAACAAAAACAGTAGGATTTTAAACTCAACTGAAAATAAGGAAGTGAAAAGAATAATACAAATTCATTATGTTTTTTATCTGTTTATCAGAGACTGACAACCAAAAACAATTTAGATTTCAAAATATTTAAAATATAAGACATAATAATTCACCTTTTTCTGTTGCAACCGTAGACCTCTCATTCCAGTTTTTACGTGAAGAAACTGCATGGAAGAATGATGGGTCTCTGTCGTCACTCTGACGGAAACACTGATTTCTATCCGCAAGCCTTGCTTGAGTTAACATTTGTATGAGTTTTTCTTCCTTTGAAAAATGTTTCATGGTCCCAATCATAGTTTTCTTGACAACTTTATTTTTAGGAGTCCGATTCATTTCAGTAAATGCGTTCATTTTATGTAGTTCAGTCTTGCATCTCACTTTCACATCGATTTCACGAAATCATATCATTATGAATACTATCTCTACTTTTCTTACAATCAGGATGTCATGGTTAGTAGGACTTTCTAAACAAGAAGTATGTGATACGCTCTCAGATTCTCTCTATTGTAAAACTTGGTGCATTGTCTTGCGTTGAACTGGTGAGTGACACTTGTAAGAAGCATCAGATTTTCTTCCAGAGACATTCAGCTGTCTTAATATTTTGTCACTGTGTCTTTATAACAGAAAAAACGTTTTTTGAGTTTTACAGATCAGTCAAAAGCAGCAGTAGAAACAGATACATGTTGGTTAGTGTTAGCTACAAATATAAAGTGAAATATTCTCGGCTCTCATTACCCGTTGTCATCACCTCACGTAACACCTATTAGTTTGGTGTAGGACTTTTAGTAACACAAAACACCCAAACCTACTTTGAAGAAGCATCAAATTATAAAAATTACCATTTAAAATGATATCAGTTGATAAATTTCTAATATCTCCATCCATGTCATTTGTTTAGATTCTGCTGATGGTTGAGTGCATTCAGAAAATGATGTTCAGTTTTATATTGATTGAAATACATTTGACCGCATACTTTCCCCTACCTTCTTGTAAATGAGACCATTAAGTGAACAGAACAAGGGCTTTCAGAGTAGAATCATACAACTATATGATCGCTGTAACCATGAACTCGGTTGACCCAGTCTTGAAAATTATTAAACCCCATGTATTTCTTTCGTTAGGTAGGATATTTTGTTTCATTAAGAACTAGAAAGGATTACAGGTTTTCTTTTGAGTTTGTCAGGCACTGACGATTACATGCATAATCACAAGTACAAAGAGGTAGACATTATCTGAATCCTCTTGTGGTAAAACTTCTGAATTTTATACAAATCGTATCAAGTTTGAATCAACTAAGGAAAATATAGGTCCTCTCAAATTCGTAGGTACTTCTTGCTGATGAGCGCCACAAGGTAAGATACCGAACTCCATAACTTTCTGAAGATGAACTACAATTATCTAGCACCGGATAAAATGTGTATCAAATATGTATCAAAACACAGTTTCGTTGGACTCTAATGAAAAAATGCAAAATAGAACGGTGAACAAACTAAGTAGACAATTAGTAATATCAGGAATAAATTGGCATATCATTCATTGACAGGGCAGAATTTGTTCAAGGTGCAAAAAAAGAAAATAATTATATACTTTTCAGACTTTGTTTTTTATGGAAAACCTTTCATATCAAAAGTGGCCGTATGCAAGTTTGAGCAACTTTGTGGCGATCTAATTGAATGGTAGAACAATATCGGGGGTGTTCGTTTCAAATAATGTTTTCTTAAAAATTGATACATTATAGAATGAAGAGAATTTCTACCATCTGAACACGGATACTTCAACAAATAACAAACCACTTAAAAAGTGTACCCATACTACGGAAATCGAAAAAAGAGGATTTTACTGAGAATATATCAGTTGGAAGCTACCTACTTAGTGATTTCGCTTGACCGAAAGCTTCCAGGTTCAGTTTCTACGCTGTCAAACACTGAGTTAGTTACAATCCTAACCAGTATGACAGGATAAAAAGACTATGACCTTTAACCTACTTTGAGAGAAATATTTGGTCCACAGCTTACGCATGAAAAATTGGGCACACGAATTTCCTTCTGTTCCTCCTGCGAGGAGAAATAATGTTTAGATAGAGTGAGATAACAAGGATAGCAAGGATCAATACTATTTTGATGTTTCTAACCAGCTACTTACAAAATAAAAACAATTTTAGTATCAAATAATGCAAACAAAAAAAATAAATACTAGAATGTTTGACAGAAAATTATAGGCTAGAAGGAAATATAATTTTGGAATTACCAATTCACATATTGCGCCGAAGCCTATTCCTCGGAAGAAAAGAGAGATGGGTTTGTGACCGCATTTGTGACCACATTTGAATGTGTTTCTGACTGAGAATAGAAAAAAATCTTCAGCAGTATAATTATGCTCGTCACCTTATTGATATATATATATATATATATATATATATATATATATATATATTCAAGCCACGACTTGTTCACTGTTGAACTGGATTGTACACGCGAATCGGTCACCAGTGGATAAACGATGAAACTTCCTCGCTCTTAGTGTTTAACACTGATTGAAGTTTGTAGGTTACGTTTTGCACTTTAGCCTGTATAGCTAAGTGGATAGTTCTCTCAATTCATCACTGAGCAATACACATGGGAATCACAGAGAAAACATCAATTTCGCTATGACTTCAGTTACACCTTGGGGATTATTGTGAACAAGCTGGAAACCTTGGTCCACTGCTTCTTCGAAACTGATTTCCACCATCTAACACACCAAAATCCAGTTTAACACAGTACCGCATCATCTGACTTTCCGGGTTCACTGTAAATCCTGATCGATAAAATTTGTTAAGCGTTGGTTGACCATAAAGGCTAGACAACTACATTTGTTACCCATTGATGATCATCTATGGTACAAATATATATCTTCCACCTGTTTGCCGAACGTTTGCTGCAGAGTATTCATTGAGTCTTTCTATATATCTCGAGAACCTTATTATCATTATTATTTCCTGTACATTTGTTCCCTTAGTTCGTGCGACTTTCATTAAACAATACCAGTGTTGCTTTTCCTCCAAGCCGACGGTTTTCTACCACAATGAATGAAGTATGTACATATTTGTATAATTTGCCATCAGAATTGTTTGGGATGGTGCAGCTGTTTACAAATCACAAAGTAAGATGGAGCCGTCGTATTCTGCTGCAACTGTTGTTCACTCCATATTTTTATTTGTTAAGGAAAACTGCATGAAATCTCTGCATGTCTGCCTAATTTATTTGGCTTAATTTTATAAGTTTCAAGAAGAAAAACTGCATAAACCTAGTCCAGGATTTTACTACTGTACACTGATTTTCATAATTCTTTTATCAGCTCAGTGAACCTCTGTATTTCTGCATCATTCAAACTCTTAATCCTTCAAGCTGTTTATAAATAAAGCATTTTGTTGAATTTGGAACACATCAGTGTTCTTTTGTTTGGCATTCTTTAAGGTTTGGTACTGGATGATGCAGAAAGTTCTAATGTGCGCGTGTGTATCAGCATAAAATGGATAAATATGACATGAATGTCTATCCTACTAGATCATTCAATACTTAAAATGTCTACTATTATGTCGGCTTTTGATGATCATTTTTTCCGATAAACACCGTTAATTTGTGTATCCAGATTCCGTTTTTTAATCGCAACAAGCAAGAACTGTGAAAAATCTGGTTTTTGACTTGAAGATTAAATTGAGGTGAATAATTACGTTGTATTTCTTTTAGTAAATCAGTGATTCATTGAAGAGCTAACTGTTTTACATGCAAATAAAGTTGACTGATTATTTAACTAGTTACCTATGTATCCTGTCTTTATCTCTTCATTTATCCACTTATAATGTGTCTGCCTTTCCAATTACCACGGACAGTTGTTTTCCTATATCCAATCAAATATTGGTATTTAGAGTGCTAAAATTGTCAAAAATAAGAATGATGATCAATGCAAGTGTGTATTTGTGTATGTTAAAAACGTACATACATGTCCTTCATTCCATGATTCATCATAATTTCGCTTACTGAGGATTTCGTTAATAAAGTCTATCTTAAAGGCATACGGTATACTTAGATATATGACAATTTTTTCATGCTACACTGTGATTTATGCTTTTTTTCACGACTAACTTAACTCTGAAGTTATCAAAAGAGGAAATATTCCCATGGAATATTATTACCAGTCAACTGATACCCAGGAAAGAGTAGTCTTTTAAATCGCTTATCTGTTGTTTCGTTAAATATTCACTGACTACACAATGCGAGTAAGTGATGATTGCAACAGTTTTTTGTTGTTCAAACTGTCGATGTAACTAAATGCATTTGCATATAAACTACTGAATTATATAAATATTTTGACAATTTATATCTAGCGGTAAAAGATTTGATGATCGTTTAATGTTCACTGATCATCGACATTTTGAATTTAGTGGTGATACAAATATTCCATATGCCAGAACACTCAAGAAAAATATCAAAGTTCATACATCACTAAATCATCGTCATTTTCATCTGGAGCTGCAGACCTTTTCCGCCACTTCAGTAGTCAGTCTCTTAAGTTGCCTTGAACTAAGCCTAACAAGAGTAAAATATTTCTTCTTTTCCAAGCTAGTCAGGTACAGAAGATTTTTTTCATTCTTATCCTCAAACGAATGGCTTTGAAAGGATAGATGGTAAAAACTATAGATAATGTTTAAAAAACAATAAGTGAATTGCATCTTGAAAGCAAACTACATTTTGCTTAAGTGGGTAAAATACTTTCGGTTATCATTATTCACTGAGAATGACTGAATCAGTGTCTGAATATTTCACATAAACAATTCTTTAATAGTAACGTTGACTGATGAAAGATGTTGCTGGAAACGTAAGACGTGCACGATGGTAAATGAATAAAATCTTCATTAGCAGAAGAACTGAAACCAATAGCCTCAGAGCTGGAATATTTCAACAAACTAGGAAAATTTTAACTTCTGCTATGACTTTATCACTGTGAGAATAGTCTACTGAAACAAAGTGCATCCATATTTGTTCAACTGGTAGTCCAAAAAGATTAGTTTCATGATTACCAAGAATAATAGTGTACTCTGTTGATAGTGATATTTGCGATTATATGCAAATCTAATCTATATACCTTCAAAAACTCACAAGTGTAAATTAACTTGGCTATCTTTTCGAATTAAGGGCGTGAATAAACAGTATACACCGTGCCTGTTTACCCATCTTCTAAATCAGATGATATTTTGCAGATATTATCACTCTACGGAAGTTCAGAAACGTGAAATGGTAATTTTCAACACACTGACCGAATAATAACATGTTCTTTTTCAGACCTAACGTTTCTCGTGTGATTTTAAATGAGATTGTGGGTAGGTACAACATTCGAGTCAGAGACTAGGATGGAACGGTTGTCCAGGGTTCCCATATTTTCACTGCTTTTCAACTGATGTTACTTTATCATGAAAGTTATTCTGGTAGAAGTTCATTTATCGAAAACACGTTAAGTGGATAATTCAAATTCTTCATTCTAAAGGAAAATATAGAATTTCAGGCAATAAACGATGAACTCACAATCCAGTATAGGCATCACTGTCGACATAGATTGGCTCAAGGCTATCGTATTGATGCAAATTGCATGGAACTGCATTTCATAACTGGTCGGCACTGATAAAATGATAAATGGTTTCTAAGTAACTTTCATTGAGAACTGATCTCAGTTTGAGAGCAATTGAAAACCCTGGGTGAATTAAACACTGAAAGGATCATGTAAAATTGTTACTAAAATAACTGCTTTTAATCACCATAAATTTTTTAGTAATTCTATGCTCACTATAATTATCATTTAAATTTGGATATGATAAAAAACGTAATTACTACAACAGCTGACAAGTATTTTTAAAACAATTTTATTGGTGGGTAACAGTTTGTGGCGTCAACAATGTTATAGTCTGCTCATTTTCGCATATTTAATCGCATCTACTTACCTTTAGTTATGTAAGAGTCTTCATAAATTTTTGTGACCTTTAGTTATATAAGTGGTTGGTTGGAAGAGCCCGGACCACTAAAAGGAAAATACCTGTTGTGTTGAATAAATGAATGAGAAGTAAACTAGGCCTTATACCAACCACTGCACTAGAATGTAACTCACTGTCTGTATAATAGAACTCGAGGCAGTCAGTGCCATCTTTATGCGTTTCTCCTTCTTCATGGTCAGAAAAGATTTACTACTAATGAGGTTGCGAATAGGGCGAACCAGCTCTACGACGCGCTTTGGTTCCAGTGGGTTACGTAACATTTACCAATTTATAACAAAGACAATAAAAAATGATATATAATCGAACGTGTGAAGTATTCTAAATAATGAAAATTAGATGACCGTGACGATGCCTAACTTTATGCACTATTAAAATTTCGACTGCGGACTTTAAACACGCGTGAAGTATAGCTTAAAAGATATCCATTGTTTGCTTAAAGTTCGTAAATTTTCCTCGATTTGCCTTTAACCCGCATCCTAAAGAACAGTTCAGTCATTCTTTAAATTATATCTTAATTACATTTGCTTTTGTGAAATAAGCGGAAGCTGTTAAATAGAATTTCCTTATAAATTCGTGTGACCTTAGCGAAAAGTGTGTACAGGATCAAACTAACTTCATTGTGCGTGATACTTAAATGCAAAAAGCTTTTTGAACTTAACATTTCGTGTTCCAAAGTGAATTTTATGTCAGAATAAAGGAAATAATAAATTCTGAGTGGTTTCATTGTCGCATTCTCTAAATCCTATTATGATGCAAACTATATCCTGAAACTTAGAAACATTTTGTTTGTACATTTCTGTTAAATATACTACAGGGCTGTGTTCTCATTCAGCTTTTCAAAAGGGCATGCAAAAACTACACATCTATTCAGGTGTTTTGTACAGTTTAAACACTTTTAACTAATAACCAGAATAACTTGGACATTACTTGAGATCCTGCAGCGTTTAGGAACTTCATAAGGGTTCACTTCCCGTAATTAAGAGGTTGGTGAAAACTGACTTGAAAATAATAATGTCTACCTTTCAGTAGAAAATTTTAATGAGAGTAAATTATTGTCACTCATCAAGAAAACCATCTGATTTAGTTGACTTAATTATGCAATCTAATGAGATAGTAACTTTTATTTATTTGCAGAACTGAGTTTTGCAGATCGGATATATCAGTTCAGCGTATTATGAAATCGATTTGGTAAGCGAGTATTCATTTTTCACTTTAATGGACTTCTATAGACGCTGATTAATTACCATGGGTAATGAATTAGGAAAGCTGGAACTATTTCCAAAACGATCTTCTAGGACGAAATAAATCATCTAGATGATTTTCAAATTTACTTTATGAAATTAGTTTTTTTCTTAGCTTCTACAGTGTGCCACTATTTTTTGAAAGAACTTATTAGATTGTAGGTCGACTTTTTATTCAATAGATAGGAGTCATCCTGTTTAGTAGATGTGATAGGCACTAGCTAGCTATGGATTCCAGGATTTGCGTTTCATCCTAAACTTGGACTCTTCAGTTAGATTTACTTTACTTCAGGTGAGTGTTATTGACAGTGATACTCAAACAAAGTACCAATCACTTGAAATGTCAGAGCCTCAGTCATTGAGCCAAAGAGCCACGGTAGCTACTCTTTGTGTCGTGTGCGTCCACTGGTAGCCACTATTCATCATAAATGTGAAAATGAAATCACCGACACAGGTCAGTGGTGGTCAAATGATTAGACTGTCTGAACGAGGGGAATTACAGACTCTAAAATTATTCTTAATTAGTCTAAAACAACCTATAAGGTATTGCAAACGTGAGGGTTAGTCATACACGTATTCATAAAAGTAAAGAATAAGAGAAAGTTTTTTTCTTAGTTAAAAAACATGATCAAACAATTAAAATACATATGTATTATAGAGTTAAAGTCATAAGAATAAACTTTAGGATACACGGCAGGTATTCTAGAATAATAAGATAAAAAGTAAGTGGTAATAAGATAAGTGATGTTCAACCACCACATTATTATTCCAGTAAGAAGCGGTAAGTTGGATTTACAAAGTACCAAGTTGTATCAGATGCTAAAAGTATGGTCAAGCTCATTTCTTTTGCGTTCATTCATTAATCAGACGGTTTAGCAACAGCATTATCGTCGTTAGTCCTAATAACGGCCCAGTAAATGAAGCTCAAAGTTAGTTCAGGCGGTACTTATTTTAAATATGGATTTTACCATACAATAGAGTAACTACAAATTATGATTTGTTAAGCAAGTGGACTTCATTGAAAATATACGGGGTGTCACTGAGCTATTACTTCTCAATTTGGCGAAGAATCCCATGTTTTATTTTGCGTATGTCGACCAAGTAATCGAAATGTTTCCGTCCAAATTCTTATTAAGGTAACAAACTGCCTGAGGCATTGATAATTAACATTCCTAACAGACTTTTTAACTCCAGTCAACCCAATATTTCTGCTTCCGTAGTGTTTCTGAGCCTCTGAACTACTTGTTAGTAATATTATTAAGCATAATCAAAAATCTCATAATGGGAACTTATCCAAAACCATTTCAATAGCATTTTCACTATGTACAAGAGACAGATTTTGAAGCAAAACAATGAAATGTATAACTTTCTTCCCATGTGTTTGAATTTCAGACTGTTTAAAGCTGGTGTAGATGAAGAGTCACCCAAATTGTTTGGATCATAACTCCCGATTTCTTTTCATAATAGCTTTGAAAAAGCTGTGCTTAAATCACTTGTCGAATCTATAATACTGCTTCGCACATTTCTTTTACCTTTTACAGTAACGTTTTGTAGGATTCCGTTAAGATTCAGTTTAGGGACGTCTTTTTACTGCCTAACTTGTTTAGAACGACAAAAAAATGCTTCATTTAATTATTATTAATGTCTGATGCCAATATAATCTACATATCATTCACGAACTTATATGAACCTGACTTTTTTGCTTGTACGACTATCTGAGGACGGAAAAGTGATATTTAGTGATAGAAAATATCTTATTCTTCCTTCACTCACCTGAATTAGTAAAATCTTATCCATTCAATTTTTTGTTGTCCATTCAGTAACATGGCATTGCTTTCTCGAAGATACTGCATAAACAGCAGATTTTTAATAAGAAATATATGGTTTATTTGTAAAAATCTAGAAAAGGTTTCAGATTTGTACTAAAATTATTGTGATTTTTTGCCTAAATAGGAGTGATATAACTGTGTTCCTCGTTATTAAGGTCTTATT